TCAGGTTTCTTAATCGATGGACATTTTGGACGGACTCCCGGGTGGAGACCATGGCAGGCTTTCACCCTCAGACCCAGCCTTAACTGAGTCTTTGGGATCAGTCCCTCCTCCGGCTTCCTCCAATGCCCATTGTCCAAAACTTCTTACGTTGAAAGTATTGGAGGGCTGATCATCCGGTGGTTCTAGTGGCAGGATTTCGCCTGAGGAGACAGTTTTCACCATCCTGTCCGGCTTCTTCCCTCCTCTTGGTTTTCCTCCGGACCCAACCCCGTTTACCCTACTTGATCTTCCAGGGGTCTGCCACACGGCCGACGAGAATGGCTGGAATTCACTAGGCGAAAGAGCTTCCGCCCTCCCACCCGGTTTCACTCCGCCTCTCCCCGCAACCCCGCAGCCGGCTCCCTTCCGACTAGCAAGGTGACTAATTGGCGGCAGATCCTCTGATCCACCATAGTTTAGAGCTTTAGCCTCAATGCCTTCCAGGACCTCCTTCTCTTCCTGTGGCATTGAGGATTCTTCCTTGTTATGATCTTTCAATACTTTAAAAGTAACTCGGCACCATCCATACCCAGCTTTCATGCCGTGTTTTTTGAGGCTTTCCAAGCTGGAGTCAGGGATCCTAACGATGGCGAAGAATCCCTTGTCCATCTCTTTAAGATAGTGCAGATACCACTGATTCACTCCTTCAATAGTGGTATTCTGTGTTCTCAGCCTTTTCATTAGAGCCTCCTCGGTAAGCACCTTCTCCGGAAAGAAGGCTCCAATCTTCGAGGTTTTTGTTAGTTCCTGTGCATCCCGCGTGTGAAGGGTAATATCCTCCACCAGGTTGATGCTTGGGATGATTTTTTTCCAGCCATGTGCACGTCTCATTGTTCATGCATGCGACAATTCCTCTCCCATCTTGTAGCTAACGCCATCAAAAAGTGGGTGGTATTGTCCATGTTCATCCAGCTCATTCACCTTTTCAGCGATGAGTTCTTTCAGTGCCTCAACCTGTTTGCGGTCGAGCATGGCTAGCGGATAGTTCGTGGGAACCACCACAACCAGCTGACCTTTCAAGGCTGAGGCATAAATTCTGTTTGCTGCTTCTCTAGGTTTCTTGGCAATAGGTGCTGAGGTTCCCAGTGAGGTTCTTTGCCTTTTTCCCTTCATTGAGGCCGGCGCCCAGGCCTCCACAGCCTTGGGCATAGGGTCTCGTAGAGACCTCTATGTCTTTAGCTGGTGGCCCAGAGGTCGACCCCATCTGGGTTAAGTGTTTTCTTGGAGCCTTTGCAGCGGGCAGTTCAGCCTTGGTCGCCAGTCCATAATTGGTCCTTGCAACTTTAGCTTCCCGCCCACTGCTAGGAACCTTGGTGTCCAGTTGCGTTCTGGGAGCAGAGACCCTCGTGTCGGACTCCTCGCTCTTGTCTGCAGGGTCTGGGATGACCCTTGCATCCTTAGCCGAGTGCCCTAATGTAGGTCTCGCTTCCGGATGTGTTTTTAAAATGATTTTGGCAGCCATTCTGTTTCCCCTTTGCCACCTTCTCATTGTTTTAGACTGTTTCAGTGTGGCAGAGACTGCTTCTTTCAAAGCAAGACCACCGCCTACCATCTGAATTTTTGGATCGGCCAAGCCTATTATTGGGCCTGTCTCTTTAACCAAAACCTTACCATCCTCATCTTCTAGATTTTTTTGTTCTTCGTTATTTTTACTTTATTTTCAATTTTTTATTACTAACTGATTTAAGTTAGAAAGAAGATTATAATTTTTTTATTATGACTATTTAATTACTCAGCATTTTTGTTTATGTATCTCTGAGGCTCCTTAGTCCACCTTTCCGTTCTTCTGTATTATTCTAAATGGACTCGTCCCAGAATAAATAAAGTATTATTATTATTATTTAGGGAAATCCCTTGTTTCACAGCATTTGCTGGATACAGCACCCTTGCTTTATCACGTTTATATAATTGCTTGAGCTACTCACCAAGGTCTTGATATTTGCAAATTTTTTCCGCTACCACCTTGTGAAGGTTATCATCCGATGGCACCCCTATTTTGAAAATCTTTGCATGGTTCTCATCCTTCAAAACGAACAAAATATCAGGCCTGTTGTGTGGAATAGTGTGGTCTGTTATAATGGTTTGGTCCCACTATAGTTTGACGTGCCGTTTATCAATGACCTATTATTATTAGTATTATTATAATCAACTTTAGTCTGGAACAGGGCATCTGGTAGACATGTTAGACAGTCTCTGGGTAATGGGCCAATTCTGTAAAGAAGCTTCCCATTGACAACAGATCAATCCCATTCCTTGATAACTCATTAGAGAGTATATCTCAATAGATGTTTTTGCAGGAAGTCTTAAGACTCCTGCAGATCATTAAATCTTTAATTTCCAATAGCTGGAAGTAGTTTTTGTGGAGGATGCAGTCTGAAAGGGACACTATAATCCTGAGAATATAGTTTGACAAAGTTGAGCTGTTGTTTTGATTCGAGCAAACAAGAGGTCACTAATTTATCTTTCTTGAAAATGTGAATCTCAAGTATTTATTGGTGTCTTCATCATTTAGATGTTATCTTTATCTTCAAAGAAGAATATCGTTGATTGATTTTCTCTTTTACTTAGTACAGCACCTACATATTTCGATAGGTTTATTATGCGACCAATATCCATTAATATCCTCTGCATGCTATTTATTATTTTTTCTGCAGCACCCTTATAGCATGCCAAGATAGCTGAGCCTTCCTTGAACCCAATGGAAATTGCACATTCTTGATTACTTCTAAGGTTATTTCCAAAACATACCAAGAAATTGCTGATTACACAAGTTGCTTTATAAAAGATTGATTTCGTTTTTATTTTAACTTCATCTTAATAGTATGTTCAATGGATCATCATTTCATTTGTTACTTTTAATATACATTTCTGTATGGAAAATGAACTAAGAAGTATTGCATTAAGTAAGTGTGTGTGTGGGTATTATTTTCTTTAATTTATTTTTTTCTGAATGAACCTTATTTCTTTTCTCTTATAAAACTATATCAGCAAGTCACTATTGATGTATAATACACTTAGTTTTGTTATTGTTTGCTTTACTAAGATTACTTAAATTTATAAATCTTTATTAATTGTAGGTACACTATGTGCATGATGGATCAGAAAGTTATGAAGATAGTATATATCTTGACCTTGAACTGTCTCCTGGATCTGGTTTTGTATTGCCGAGTTACCTTCAAGGTCAACACAGATTTATTCTTCATGTAAACATAAGTGCTATAAATGATCCACCAGTTCTATTAATACCAGCAGGAAAATCTTTAAAACTGCCCCAGGTAATCAATTTGTATATTTAATTGTAGTATCATTTATTTTAATTATTTTACAGGTTTTTTCTTTCTCATATTTATCTCCTATATCTTATATTTATTTTCTATATCCTAATTATCTCCTATATCTGCTATATCTCCTACCAGATGTTTTTCCAATCATTTTTCCTTATGTTTCTGGGGGCTTATTGTGTCTGTGATATTGGAAGGACTTGTCAAAAAGAAGATAGAATAAAAAGAATCTCTGTAGAAAAAAAAAAAATCAAATAACTTGCTAAATAAATAAGGCATTCCAGGGATGAAGCTTGAAAACTGAAGTAACAGTAACCTTGCCTAAGACCCCAACTGCATATTGTTTGTTACAAATGTTATAATCCGGTGTCAATTAAAATTTTAAAAAATTCAATTTTCGTTTTATATCCACTTTATTTACTCCAGTTCCTGTTCAGGGGCGCCATTTTGTTACAAATTTCTCTTCATTTACCACACCTCTCTCAGAACTATTGAAGAAAAACAAGAGATGGCGAAATGGGGAAAAGAACAAGAAGAAGTGTTTAGTTTACTGAAGGAGAAGCTTGTTACCGTGCCTGTTTTAGCATGTCCTGATTTCAGCAACTGCTTTTTCCTTCAAACTGATGTTTCACAAAGTAGTTGTTTTAGGTGATTGGGAACTGTGGCAAGTATGTAATCCTTAATATAATACATACTTCTATTATGACTAATATTGTTATTTTTAAAATATTGTCCTACATATCTCTTCAATCCATTACAATTGTCTTTATTATTAATATTATTTGGCTAACCATTGTATACCTTCAATCAAACTATGTTATATTTATATGGATTGGCACCTCTTGCTTATGTTCATTTCATTACCAGCCAATAGTCACAATTCTATAACCATAAGAAACAACACAAACCTTGTACACATCTTGAATATTTAGTCAGCAAATTATTTACATTCTACAAACAGAAATGTTACCTCCCTCCCCTCCCCCACTCTGATTATGTTTACCTACCTTTAGCCTTCTGAAAAAATACTAATGGGAAATCCTCCCCCGACCCTTTCACTTACCTATCAAATGTGTCAGTACTTGAAAGCGTTCAGTGCTTGAACCAGGGTTAGTAAGAGAAAATATTACAAATTTTTATAAATGGATTATATACATTATTTTTAGTTTGTATAACTTTTTATATATTTCATTTTTAATATTGTGTATTGTAATAATAGTTAAGATTCATGTACCATCAATCACTATTGTTGGGGCCAGGGGTACTTCAAAACCGAAGTACAAATCTTTCCCCGGTGCTTTTCCTCAATGGTGGGGGAAATTCGAGAAAAATTAAATTTTGTTGAGAAAGAGGGGAAAAAAAGAGTAAAAATGAGACCTATAAAAAGTGAAAATGTGCATGCACAAGAAAATATTAAAAATAGAAATATTTCAATAAAGTGAAAATAAAAAATCCCCTTTTGAACGCTTACAAATTTATTGAGATAAAAAATATATACAATAGTTAAAAAATAAATAAAGAGTGGAATGAATTTCACTGAAATGGTTAAAAACACAAAATATAATACTCAGTGAACATAAAAACCAAATTAACAATTACTAATAAAGCGAAAAGAAATCAATTTCTAAAATTAAAATTAAAACGAGAGAGAAAAATGTCTGTGGTGATAATAGAAAAAAAATGAGCCAAGTTGGAGGTTCTACTTCCAACCTGTTACCTTCTCGATGCTTAGCTGTCCATAATCGATGGTGGGGTGGTATCGATCTCGATCGACTGCTCAGCTGCGCTCAACAGCTGATCTTTGAAAATGGCGCTGATGAGGTGAACGAGAAGAGACGGCCTGGTGGATTCTGGTGGTTTCTGTTAGAAGAGACGGCCTGGAGCTTGGTGAAGATGGTGGGGGTAGACGTCCACTCTGAATGAAAGACAGCTCTAGACTCCCGTTCGGAGTATTTTGATGTCTTAATCCCTAAGATAGGGTATTACTGCCGGGCTGGTGTGTATATACAACGCGATAAAACATCGCAAATAATACCCAAATATACAAATATTACACAGCAAAATACATTTTAGGGACAATATCCCTCGGCCTATTACAAAAAAATATATTTATTCCAATATTCACATTAAAAAGAGGTTAATGGTGAGAAAAAATAATACTAAAAAAATAAAGATATGAATATGCGGCGTTAACAACTATAGTTTATTATTTACCATTATCGGTCGTATAATATTATATCTGTGATTGTATTTTAAAATTTTCAGCCCTGATGATGACCCACATATTTGGGTTGAAACTTTGGCACAAATAAAAATTTTTATAATGACTGCTTTCTGAATATTTATCACCCATGATAGTTATTAATATTTAATTGACTCTTCATTATTTTTCTTTTTTTTTTTTTAGCGAACCCTTCAGTCTTCACTGAGCATCTGGCAAGCTTGTTTCGGAAATAATTTTTCTAAATTAAAGACTAACACATTATTGAAAATGAAACAAGAAACTTCCCAACCAAAAAAAAAATTTTAATGAGGGAGGAATGATTAGAGTAGTCAGGTCTAAAACCGGACTGGAAGCAGTTCAAAAGGTTATTTTACTCAAGATAGTGGGGCAATTGGAATCGCACTAATCATTCTAAAGGTTTGGAAATGTTAGATAACAGAGAAATTGGACGAAAATCGTCAGGGGTTGTGAGACTAGAGATTTTATTCAGTGGACAAACAAGAGCAGTTTTCCAGGGGCTGGGAAAAGTGGAAGTTTGTACTGAAAAGTTATAGATATGATAAAGGATAGGGGAAATGGATGGAAGTGAGGATTTAATTAATTTAAGTGTAATATTATCTGTTCCTAAATCATTGGTTCGGGATTTAAGGAGGTTGTAAGGGGTTATGTGAGAAAATTAAAAGATGGATAAATGAAGGGTAGAAGTGGTTCTTGGAAATAGGGATTGGAGGTACAAGAGACAAGTAGAGCAAGCTAAGATGCTGATGGAAACGCAAGCAAAGAACTAAAAGTTAACCTGGCAAGAACAATGAGACTGAAGCTAGAAATCGGTGGAGTATCCGAGGACTGGAAATCCTCTGGCTTGGAGGGCGTTCTATGAGGAAAACTTGAGAGCAGCGGAATAAGTAGACCTCGAGAAGAGTGTAACAGGCAGGAATGGGTCAAACTATGTTTTTCTAATATTGAGCAAGAGAACCTAAAAAAAAACCCGGGTAGTGAAGGTTCATTCGTCCATGATAACAGCAGTCCTGCAGTCTTTCTGTGCCTGAAATGTCAGGAATATGGTCGTACCAAAGCTATATGTAAGAAATACCTTACATGTAGGTGGTGTCGCAGTTGCAGGCATAAGGCAAATAAGTGTTAGGCTAAAAAAAAGCGGCTCCCCACAAAAATGCAAGAATTGTGTGATGTGAAGGAAGACGCTAGATGAAATAAGGCATTGTGCTGGGAGCAGAAAGTGCCCCGTGCACTTGTCAAAGATGTTGAAAATAGTAGAAAAGACCCGCTACTCTTAGTGGCGGCTCTGGCTCTACGCTCCTGCTGAAGGAAGATTCTGGTGGTTTCTGTAAGCCGCTGGACCGAAAAGAGAATATTAAGGCACAGTCCTGCTATGGAAGGTGCACAGCTGTGATCTGGGCTGTGCCACAGGAAAACCCTATTTTTATTGTTCCTTGAAATAAATACATACCCTAAAGCAGGGAATCCCAACCCAGAGCTTGCAGGCACACTGGTGCCCAAGCGATGTCACTTGTGTTTATTGTTACATGCTGCAGACCGATAAGTTTTCAATAAAATTATGCATATTTGGGAATAATGCATATTAACACTAATAATTGACTTCAAGTATGAGCACTTACTTTGAAAATCAATAAAAGTGTTTTTAGGTTGTCAATACTAATATTATAATAGTTATGAATGCAGAAATAAGAAGTAAAATTAATTTACAAATGTGTTGAAACATAAAAATAATGAGTTTGGTACTTGTTTAGATATATTTTTTAGAATAATTTATGTTAAATTTTAAATATACAAGTATTTTATTGAATTATAAATCTAAATTTCAAATATAGAAATGTTTTTTTTTTCTTGTTTTTGTTGTTTGTTTTTTAAATGATGAATTAATAATATGGTTATGAATAAAATCTATTTTATTTATTTGAATATAATATCCATGAACTGGTTCATCAATACATAATGATAGTTAATAATGTAAATTTTAATTTTGAAAAATGTTAGTTTGAAATGTGAAGAGGTTCATAATAAACATAATCTTGTTAGGGAGGTTTTAGGATTTGACTAAGTAAATTATGTTGACAAGGGCAATTCAGTCTATATTGATTTTAATTCTTTAAAATACATATGTAATATAAAGTATAAAATGAAAATAATTAATGAGCAAAGATAATTAAGCTGACAATTGTTTTTATTTGTTAAAGGTTTCTTCCCTTGAAAATGGCCTAAGGGCTGAAACTTTGGTGTGGAAAAAGAAATAAAGTAGGACTATGTGATAAAAAATTATGCTTTTTTTTATTATTCAATTTTGATTTTTTTTTAATAATAAGAATTGAAAATTCGTACAATTATACCATTCTTTTAAAGTATCTAACAAAGCTATTTCAATTACATTCCGTGTGATGATACAATAATGGTTGAATAATTTAGGTTTAAATTTTGGTTGTCATTACTAATATTATAATAGTTGTGTATTAATTTCAGGGAACAAGGAAAATCTTAGACAATGCTCTACTGAATGCTACTGATGTTGACAGTCTTAAAAGTTCTCTCATTTATACTGTTTTATCTGACGGTAATGGTAAAGTTGAAAAAGTTACACAATCTGGTATAGTTATGTTGACCAATTTTACTCAAGAGGAAGTAGATAATGGAGCTATAATGTATTATCATAATGGACCTGCTAATACAAACTCTAAAGTGATTTTTCAGGTTATTACCTAGTTTACAAAATTATTTTTTAATACTTATCATTTAGTTAAGGCCACTTTAATGCATATTTTATATTATGTGATATAAACTGCTCAAAAATGAATAGGGATACCTCTGATTGATACTTCTTTTATTGGTTTTAATACCCTTATTTTTTTTTTGGTAAGCATTCTCTTATTTTTGGTAAACATAAAAAGTAAATAACAAGTATTCTTCATTTTTAATAAATTATTATATAAAGGATAGCCAACATATAAAACATATAGAAGAACACTCATTGTGTTAACCAACAGTTGTTTAAGGCTTTTCTCTATTTTAATCCAGTAATATCATGTTTAACGATGGAAAGACATTACACTATAATATAAAGACCTCTGCCTTTGACAGTGTGAACAGAGGATATATCAAACAGGAAAAGCATAACATACCTCTCCGCTCTTTCTTCTACCTCATGGCGCAGTCTCAAAATGGTATCTACCGTTCCCTTGCTTTTTGAAAAAAATTGTAAAAATGTGTTAAATCGATGATATAAAGTGCCACTTTCGGTTTTCCAATTTTGACAAAACAGTTGCTATAACATTCTAGGCATCTACAACCTTAAATGTGCAATTTCAGTTTTGTAGGAATTTTCGATTTTAAGCTAGACTGTTCACACACACACACACACACACAGATCAATTTTCGAGACTTGGTTATTTTGACTCAGGGGATCTCAAATCATGTATTTCCATTGAAAACTCGGATTGAAAATTTTTATGATTGCAATATTTCTTCTTACTACATATTTCATATATAGGTATGTGAATGTTAAAAAATCTGTGTGTGTGTGTGTGTTTTTTACGAAGGTAGGTGGAAATCTTCAAAAAGACACGAATAAGCTCGTACCTATCTATGTGTGGGATTCGTAACCACTAAAACCACCTCTCTACACCCTCCACCCTTCATGGGACTACCCTTAGGCATTACTTCATGGAGGGGGAGTGGCTGTGTGCCGCCTCATTTCCTTAGGCTACCTCCTGGTTCACCTTTCCTTCTCCTCACTCCTCAGTCTCTTGATGACCTGCGCTGCAAGACGTTGTCCAGCCATTTTGCAATCTTAGGAGAGCAGCATCAGTCTGACGAGATTATCATCTGTTGGTTCTGATCCGCAGTCATCTCGAAATTCTTCTATTTCTTCCTGGAAGCGGGGACAGAACAAGAACACATGTTCTGCGGTCTCTTTTACAGGTTTGCACCCCGGGCACTCTGCTGTACACTCCAGCTTAAACTTATTGTGGTCGGTTCAGAAGCATCCATGTCCAGTAAGGAGCTGATTAAGGTAGTGGTCCACCTCCCCTTGCTTCCTGTCTACCCAGGATTGGATACAAGGAATCAGTTTGTGTGTCCGTCTTCCATTGAATGCTATATCCCAGCGTCATTGCCATGTTTCCTTTCTTTCTTCGACCCTGGGAATACAATTGACTGTGTTGTAAGGGTGCATCCTCTCTTTTGCAATCATCTATTGGTGGCATCCTGGCCACAACACATGCTGCTTCATGTAAAACTGCGGAATGCACAGATCACTCTTAAGGCAGTTCGACGGTTGATGGATACCATTGGTTAAATGTGTGACGTGCGAAAATAACACCACACGGTGCTCCATGTGGCTTGAAATCGCCGGTTTTATCGAAATATCAATATTGATGAACTTGATAGAGGTGTTTTGCGAATGTAGTGGTGTGTTGAACAATAACCAAGACCTCCTCTATTAATTTGCGCTAATCAGTTCAAAGGTAAAACTAATAGTTTATGCTGCCACATGGCCAGCTAGGTTATCCATTACGTACCCGTAAATTGTAAATCCATTACGTAGTTAGTTAGCTTTGGTAAAATTGTTAATACTGTAAATATTGTTTTGTGTTTTTAAATTCTTAACTTATATATGAAGTGAAATATAATTATTATATGGTTTATTAATATTTAATATGTTAGTTTTAAGTTATTAAGTGTTTGGTTACTTTAGTTATCATATTTGTATTATAAGAGCGTATTATTTTGTATCGTATTATTTTATTTTGTATAAGTTCATATTATTTTGATCATTAGGTTATATTAGTTTGTTATTGATATAGTTAGTTTTAAGATATTGAGTGTTGATTATTTTGATTATTATGTTAGTTAATGTTATGTTATTATGTTACTACGTTAGTTTAAGACGATAAGGTTGATTGCTGGTAGTAAGTACTTTTATAGTTATCCTTTTTATTGATTTTTATCTTTTATATTGTTTCATATTTATGGTTTACACTGACTGACTTTATTTATACCTTTATATTTATCATTTACAAGTATATCTTGTATATATAATACGTTATTAGTTTATTTTATCCTATTATATTCGATATTGTAATGATATTGTTTGGTTCAATTTTAAGACAATTCATACCAACAAAGAATTAGTAGCTAGTAGAATAATAGATAATATATTATATTATATTATTTTAAATTATTCTAAACTAATTAAATAGTTAACCTTGTTAGGTAAATACACTGGTGTTTAGGTATGTAAAAGGGATAACCTCAAAATGAAAAAGGAACAAACAAGTAAAGGAGTCCAGAGGCCCGGGGAGATTAAAGAGACCAAGTCAAGCATGAAGGAGTTAGTTGTGGAGGCCCCTGACAGAAGAAAGAGGGTAGAGTTGTCGAGGAAGATGGGCGGGAGAATTGTCCTCAGAAAAAGGTGAGAAAAGAAGGAAAATGTCGTATTAAAAGGGCGGAGGAGATTCAGGACAGACTAAAAAAATACCTATCTAAGACAAATCTGACAAAAGACAAACAAAAACACATTAATACCCAAACAAGAGAATTGAAAAACATAATTCTTGGGATGGAGGCTATAACGAAATTTATTGAAGAGATTAAGAAAGACAGTCTCATCTCGGTGGCCATCCTAAAAGTCAAGGGGGAAGAAACGAACAGGAAATTAAACAAGATGATGCAATGAACCAAGAGAAAGGAGAGGATGCGAGAGGGACAAGAAAGAGTACGCCGGTGACAAGATTTATGACGACCCTCATGGCCCTCAGAAATAATAATATTAGGATTGCCAGGGGAAGGAACCTCATCACATCTGACGCTGACTCAGAGGAAGAGGAGTTACTTGCAGGAATGAACGTCGAGTTGTAGAGGAAGGATTTAATAGATGTGATGGAGAGTATGAGAGTGGATGCAGAACAGGACTTCATCCTCCCACGCAAGGAGAGAGAAAAGGCTGCGAGGAATACATGCCAGCTCTAGAGGCTGTTGCACTCCTATATTGGAACGTAATAGTCTGCTCTGACATGAACTCGTGGAGCATGGCCTGGGGATCAGTTAAAACAGATCTAAGGGGATGACAGTTGAGGACTGCCTAGCCAGATGCCAGCTCATTGTATTGAATGAGCCCTCTGCACCCACGTTTGTGGGAGGGAGGGGCCAGAGCTGCATTGGTGTAACCTTGGCTACTCCTGTTGTGTCAAGGCGGATTACTGACTGGTCCCTACAGTCTGACACCAGCTCCAACCACGGAACCATAAGATTTAAGTTAAAGGACAGTGATCACCACTACAGCAAAGGGAAAATGGGGTTTGTAACGAAGACAGCAGACTAGGAGCTCTTTACCAGCGCTATAGAGTCCAAGCTGGTCGACCAGGACTGGGAAGAGAGTACGAATCGCACTGCTCATGTGAGCTATTGTCTGGACCAGCTCTTAGAGGAGCTGTCCAGGTTAATATCTGCTGCAGCAGGTGGCTCGTTGAAACCCAGAGGAATGAGGAAACAGTGTGTTCCATGGTGGACTCCAGCACTAACAGAACTCAATAAGGAGTATCACAGGGCCAGACATAGATACCAAAAGTGCAGTGTGGAAGGAAGAAAAGCAGCACTCCGAGAAGAATGCCGAGGCTAGTATAGGCTCTATAAGGCCGGAGTGCGACGCCAGAAGAAAGTTTCCTGGGAACAGTTCATAAAAACTGAAAGTGAGAAGAATCCCTGGAGAATACTGTACAGGGTGGCGATGGATAAACTTAAACCTGGACACCTGCTTTAAATGGCGGCAATAAGATCAGCAGCTGGACCAGCAGCCTCCCTGGAGGAAACAGTTGGAAGATACTTGGACCAGACCTACCCTAGGGATGACCTGTCCTAGGACAACGAAAAGGATAAGGCTCTGAGGCAGACTATGGAGTATCTGTCTGGCACTTATTTAATTCTACCATGGGACGTGTGGGACCTGCGGATGGCAATACACAGACAGTGGTTAGGCAAAGCTCTGGGTCTCGTCGCCATCGATGGGGCAATCTTAAAGAGGAGTGCTCCCTATATTAAAGAAGAATTACTTGAGATAATGAATGAATGCTTGGGTAGGGGGCACTTCCCAACTCAATGGAGGGTCACCAACCTGAGACTGCTATACAAGGGGGGAGGTAAGGACAAGCAGCTAGCAAAATCCTATAGACCCATATGCCTCCTCCCTGTAATGAGCAAGGTCCTGGAGCACCTCATTCTGAAGAGCCTGGTGCCAGTCCTGCGGGCAGCGAGTCACCCGAGGCAGTATGGGTCCACGAAGGGACGTGGCACCGGAGATGCCCTGATGAGGTTACTCAGGGAGGTTGATGACAAGGCGGAGAAATATGTCATGATGGTCCTCTTCGACATATCTTCTGCCTTTGATAGTGTATGGTGGCCCTGCGTACTCCAGCGCCTCCAACAGTTTGACGCTCCCAGCAACTTGTACTCCCTCATTAGGGGGTATCTCAGCGATAGGAAAGCTAGGATACAGGGTACCTTCTATGAGGTAGAGCGGAAAATAGAAAGAGGATGTCCTCAGAGCTCAGTCCTGGGCCCGGCCCTGTGAAAGCTAGTATTTGACCAGTTGCTGGGGGTATTGGAGGTAGCATGCTTTGGTGCCGTTGCCTACGTTGATGACCTGGCTTACATAGTAGCAGCGAATAGTAGGGCGAGATGGATGGCGGAAGGAGAAAGATGTGCCACTATAGTTGAAGAATGGTGTGCAACGAAGAAGATAAAGATGGCGGCGGCAAAGACCGAGGCCATTCTGTTAAAGGGTTCTATGGACCGAGCCCACCCTATTAGTCTCAGAGTAGGAGGAGGTAGAGTCCACCTAGGTGAGGAGATCACCTACCTAGGCATGAGATTTAAATCGCAGTTCAATATTTCTCCTCAGATAAAGTACCTACAGAGTATGGTGACCCTGTCCCTAAATGGCCTGGCACGGATAGGGGGTACCTTTTGGGGCCTCAGATACCCAGCAACGAGAATCATCTACAAGGGAGTTGTGCTGGCTATACTGAAGTACCCATCCCCAGCATGGATCCATCGCCTGAATCAGGTGCAGAAAAAGAAGATGGCCACCATTCAGAGGCTCGCCCTGATGAGGACGACTAGGATGTACAGAACTGTGTCCCACGAAGCGGTGCAAGTGCTGGCCGGGGAATTGCCCCTGGACCTTGTCCTTCAGGAGGACGCTTGGAGGAATAACCTAAAGAGGCAGGGACTGGATGCACTCCCTGAGGGGCTTCAGCGGAGGGTCCATGAGGATCCAGGAAGGTGGAGTGGCATAGTCCGAGAGGCGACACTAGAGGAATGGAATGGGTGGTGGATTGCAAGTGAGAATGGAGCCACCTTGAGAAAGTACTTTCTTGCCGTTCATTCCAGATTGGAGGCAAATTGGGTCGAACCGGACTACTGAACCTCACAGTTCATGAGGGGTTTAGAGACAAACTCAGGAAGCATGGGAAGAACATCGACCCCTCATGTCCCGATTGGGGTGCCCCTGATACGGCTGAGCATGTGGTTATATCATGCACCGCGATGGAGCAGGCCAGAGGCATATTGATGCTGAGGACGGGACTTTATGCCCCATACGTAGAGGATCTTCCTCGACTGATGGAAGAGGAGAAATACCGCCACTTCATGGAGTTCGTGGGAAAATGAAGAAAAAAGGTGGAACCTACGCACTTCAAGATAGGGAGAGGATTTCCACCAGCAGGCTAGAAGGAAGAGGACCGGGAGAGGCAGCATCAAGCTGTTGGAGGGCACACAAGCGCATAAAAAGCGTGAGAGCGAAAAAGTGTCTAGACAAGCTACACAAGAGGGCAGGACGCG